CGTGTGCCACAGTAATAATAGTATATGCTAATTTTAACAGGGGCTTATCTGTGATGCCATCAAAGTAAACAAGCCCCATGTGTTACTGGCCTTCCAAGATCATTGGATATGACAAGTTTAACCTAATCCCATCAAGAAAAACAAAAAAGGCTGCTAGCCAGCCCCAAAGTGACTTAACCCTAACATTAGCCCTAATACTATATGGGTTCAAATCAAAACTAAATAAAGTGAGTAATTAACAGAACCCTAGGCTTCATTATACTTTGGAAGCAAAACTTATTTTGTGCATTATGAAATAAATAAAAGATTAATGACATTTTAATTTTTGTGGAGCTTTTAAAATCACTCCCCTGAATGTAGGGAAAAAGAGCTTTTTTAACAAGTTCAGCTTTACCTTTTCTAAAAGCTAAAGACACATAGTTTAGCAAATTTTAACCAGAAAACATGCATGCACACCCAGACAGACAGGTGCTTGCAAAGTTAAACTGATAACACAAACATACACATATACATAAACATTTTGTAGCATGCCCTTAATGCTGTATACTAATTGCCACATTGCCTCATTGCTCCTGGCAGCAATGGATTCCGCTACCCATAAGTGGGATTGGTCCAGAACCCAAGGCAAACCCCTTCTATTCTGACTCAGATCAGTTTGGGAAAGAAATTATCATTAGGACATCTCCAGAGAGGAAATTAACCTTATATAGATTCATCTGAGGTTAGTGGCCATCCTTTCAAGCAGCAGCTGACAATAGGTGGCCCTCCAGATGTTGTGGAATTCTCGATTCCTATCCAGAATTGATGTGCTTAAAAGATGACAAGTTGTAGTCCAATAACATCTGGGGGGTTAGAAGTTATCTACCAATTGTCGGGATGGATATGGGCCTGGCCCTAAATGGATCTAGGTGACAAAAACTGACAGATACACTGCCTCTTTTCTTTTCAGCCCCCCCTTCAACATCACTTCTGCCTATTTCATTTGGATTCCAGCTTCCATCTCAAGCCTCATCAGAAGAAACTGATCTGAACTGAAAAACATGATTATTCAGTCTATACTTCGGTACAACCATTTTCATCCGTGCTTGGATTTTATGCTATCTAAATGACTCAAGATCATTCCTGCAAAACCAAGGAAGAATACTCCATAATACTTTGAAAAATGTGATGGAATATTCAAGGAATGCCCTTCTCAGCTTACATGATTCTTTTTTTTTAATTAGTCCCCTCTCTTCAAAAAGGAATCACGTGTTCCACACCAGCCTTGTTTTTTGTAATAGCATTTATTCTTTGGGTCGTTCCTTCCACAAATTAGTAATTTTGCTGATACTGTCATTCACTTGATTTTTTTAAAACAAAACAAAACTGAAAATATCTTACAGAAAAGTTTGGCAAGACAGTTTATTGTCACAAAATAGTTACTGCCAGAATAATTTACAATAGTATGAACTAAAGTGAAGTGCTTACTCTCTGCTTTTATTTTAAAAACTGACATTGTTACGAGAAAATCCAGTAGATCGGTTCTCAAAGCCATCAATGTGGGGAAACCTCTTTTGCATAATGATGTAAATCATTCAAAAGTAAACTTCAGCTGTTCATACAGTCATAACATATATTTCCTGCTTTTTATGTCAATGAAAAACGGCCCTTAAAAAAAGTAAAAATATATATATATTTATGTACAAAATATATATTTTTTTCATATCAAATCATTTTAACTATACAGTTTAAAAATAACCACCATCACAAAATGCTATGTTACATCAAGATGCATTCTACAAGTTACATCAAGGCGGATACCTGCTAGGTTAGGTTATATTAGTGCAATTGGAACTGGCTACACTTGAGGATCATTCTGCATACCTGAAAGTTGGCTTCATCAAGGGTTTGGTCCTCCCCCTCTCTCACATTGCTATGAGCTTCTCTCTACATGGGAAGAGCAGCAACAGGGGCAAATCTTCTGGTTCTGCCCATCCTTTTTCATCACTTCTACATGTACAAAGTGACTGTGCTTTAGGAAGCTTATTTAGGCAACAGAGGCTCCTTGCACAACTTAATCCCCACTTTCTCTCCTCATATACAGAGTCCTACACAATGCCATCCATGCTCAGGAAATCAGATGTGACCAATGTAGAGATGCGGTGGGTTTTGTTTAAAGCAGAAAGCTTGGAATTATACACAAGGTTGCCTACCCCCCAACACAGTTTAGATTTAGGACTGAAACCTGGTTGATTTTGCAACCCAGTTTAGATTTAATACTGAAACCTGGCTTACTTTGATTGGCTATATTGCAAAGAGTCCAGAAAACTAACAAATGTGCATGGCAATCGAGTCCTACAAGTATTTCTGTGCTGAACTATGTGGGAATATGAAAATCTTAATTCATTCTTACCTGCCCTTCCACTAGGAGTCCTATACACAAAGAACATCCTGTGGATGTATAAACCTGACACTATCAGGTAAAAGTAGGCAAAATTCTGGTGGCTACTGAACATTTTAGGGAGGCTAAGGACCACAAAGTTGATGGGGTCGCATCATACGCATGGACAGGGCAGAATCTGGGGGAGGGGCTGTTTCCTTGTTTTTCCCCACTGGGCTATTTCTGTATTAGGGCTTGTGTTTATCGTTTTCATGCTTTTTGGACTTCAAAGTGGTGGGAAGGGTACTTTGCATTTTCAGGAATTATGGTCAAGAGGGCTTTGAGTGCTGCCCAAAAAGATTCAATGGCCGTGTGGGGTACAGGCTGCCCACCCCTGTTGTAGTGGGAGAATTCCGCTAGGTTTGGCATGAGGAATTAAACAATGATTCTGCATTGTTCATCTCAGCTAACATACACTGATTTTTCCTTTTTTCCTTTTAATGGCTACAACTGGGCTGGAAAAAAAAACAAGATTAGAAGTTAACTGATAGTTTCTCAAAACTAGATTTACAGATTTAGTCTGGATATTGTTATTCAAATGTAACATTCACACAATTAAAGGAAAATAAGCTAGGTTTCAACTTTGCTAAACTAAACTCTGAACAATCAACTTTTTTCTCTAGTTTTCTTTTACCAACTCAATATAAGCTATTTTGGGTTTTACTGTTGTTTACATAAGGGAGGGAACCTGATTAGAACATTTTTGGATGGTTGAAGAAAAATTTGATATACCTCCATAAAAACTATTTTATACAATTCACTTGACTCAATGGCAGTCAAATCTAGGGCTTTAAAATGTTGTTTTTAATGCCTAATTTAGCATCTACTTTAACTTTAAATTGAGTCAGTGCCACAATTGTTTGTCTGTTGTGTACCCCACATGTTTTTAATTCAGGCTTTTCACTTTATATAATATATAGATTTCATTATGCCCTTTTTCCTTCATTGAAATGGGGATTGCCTTCATTTGATACATTCCATACCAAAATAAAAAACATTTTGGATGCATTAAGGCAATAACGGTTTCCGTCGTGGAAAGTTACAGAGCTCCAATGTAAATAATAAACTGAAGCATAGGTTGATTTGGTACCAAAAAAGTGAGCTGTTTTGTTTACTTACATAACAGTTTCAATAAATCTAAAGGAGACTTTAAAAGGAAGGAATCTACACTGGATTTATTGATAGCTTCACTGCAACAAGGACACGCAATCACAGGGAATGTTTTTACGTTAAAAAAAAATGGAGCACTATATAAAGCTAAGAACTGGAACATTTTCATATGTGAGGTTTAATTTCTCTTTGACCTGCTATCTTGCTCTCATGTTCACCATTAATAAGAGTCAAAACAGCAGGCAATCCGAGGAGAGGCACTGTATCTTTTAACCATGTTAGAAAAACAACCACCTCCACATTACAAAGCAACCGAAATAAGGGCTGCTTCATGTCTTGTATAAATGTCCTTGCTGTTAGAATGCTTCTTAAAAATGACTGGGGTTTGTTTTATTTTTTGCTTTTTTGTCTGAACAGCAAAGAGATAAAAAGTTCTGAGCTGAGAACATGCCTTCAAGGCATGTCAGATGCCACACTTCAAAACCTAGGGAGGTCAGGACAACGATGAACGTAAGGCCAACAAATTTTGTTTTGGATGTCAATTAAGTGAGCAGTATTAATTAAATATAGTCTTAATTATATATATAATGATTATTTCCCATGGATTGAACCCTTTCTTTCCTCTGTCATTATTAAAAATTACAGTTGAATGAGAATTCTTTGGAAGAACTCTGGGCTCTAAGCTTTTGAAGCCATAGCGTTACCCTTATCAAAATAATTATTTTGGTATCTTATCAAATAAACCATAGCCATTTCATTTCACTTGAGCAAAACTGGGCACTACTTGGTAACATAATGGATTTCTCTTCCACGGTAAAATGTAGCAATTTCATCTCAGATATTTACTGGCCTCTAATTCAGACAAACCAAAGGGTTGAGGCTTTAAAACAGCAACAACAACACCCTTTCTGAGGGCAGCTTTGAACGATCAGGATGCATTTAGAATTACATGCAAGGTTAAGTGTTCGGACGCTGACATTTTGAGGCACAGTTTTCTTAAGCTATGCCCACGTTCTAGCTTACTGTAAGAAAGCAAGGCACTTATTGTAATAGCAAGGCAGATGCTTAATGTGCAGTTTGATTAATACAATAAAATAAGTTAATAATTTGACTTAAAAAGAAAAACAGGGGACTTTCCCCCCATAATTTACATGCTCTTCATTCATGATTTGACATGTTATTTAAGAAACAAACAAACAATTTAGCCTGAGAGAGCATTTCTTGATTACTGTACCATAACAGAGCACAATTCATTGGGAATATCTCTTGCACACAAACAACAAAATGAATGAGAACCACACAAACCTCTTCGGGGTCATTTTGCGGCTGCTTGCTTGGGAGACCTTTCCAGTGAGCTATGCTCATTCTTATTCGTACTGACCGTCACAGACTAGAATAGGAGCTTCAACACTTGCTCTAGACCTTGTTCTGATCTTACGAAAAAACGAACAGCATGAAAGAAGTCCACATAGAGGGAAAAGCAGGGCAAACCAGTTTTTCTTCTAAAATGGTGGTGGCACTAGTGGAACTTTGACAGTCTTCACTTCTGATATATGTGAGGATTTCTGAATGATACAGCTGGTTGTGCCCTGCAGTTTGTCCTTTCCTTGGGCAAGATTTGTTAAGGCCATTGCTGCATTGATCTCCTTCCAATACGTCTCGTCTTTGTTTGATCTTTTTCTGTTAGCTGCGCTGGAAACAAGCATCAAGAAATGTTTCCATGTTTGTTAACTATTATAACACTCATGCATTCAAACAGTGACACAATACTCATCCCAAATATGCATATAAACATCTGTGTGTTTAAAAAGAAAGTCTGTATTTCCTACAGAATGGGGGAAAGGTCTCTACTGCTGCATCTTGTGCCCGTTTTAAGAACAGAGAAGGTATGTGTCCTCATGATATGGCGGGACCACTGAGTAGGCAATGGGGGGGGTTGGGGGTTAGAAGGGAACATTTTTCCAATTCAGATTTTGTCCTAAGCCGCTGAAAAGTTTGGAGACTTAATTGGGGGAAGTTTCTGCTATCTCACATTATGACATACTCGTTCATGCTCAACTTTTCCATTGACTTGCTCCTGTCAGGTCAATACAGGCATACAGGCATACTCCACCCCCATTTATGCACACTAATCTGGTTCACACAATACACTGTTTGCACCTGGTTTATTGTATTAGCCATAACTGGCTGGACCTAAACAACACACCAAATGAAAGGAAGGAGACCCACAGCCTGGGGAATGCAGCACCCAATCTGAGACTTCTCAGCACCCCAAAATTGCACTGAACCAAACAATCCTATTTCAGTAGCTTTCCCAAGACATGGCCTGAAACCACTATTTCTCAGGGCTGAAGAGATTTAAGAGTAAGAATGCTTGTGATGTGCCTCTCAAAGGCCTCCCATTTTCATTTCCACTCTTAGCCTGACTTTCCCACCCTCAAATTGACCCCATCCCCTACCAGTGACGTCCTCTGAGACCTTTCAATATCTGGATTTGGGTCAGCAGCCCGTCTCCCACTGTCCTTTCCCTATGAGTGGCTCTGTAAAGCACCCTCTCCATTCAAACCAATGGAGACGATTTTATTGAATTGAATAAACAAGGGAAAGAATCTGATGGACATGGAGAGTAGAATTCCTGCATAGGCTTACTTAGAATCTGCTAAGTTCCACCTAACTTTAAGGATATTTTGCTGGTTTGTTTTGGAATGTTGCAAAGCGCCATCCTCAGTATCATCTTTATTCCTCACACAGCTCTCTAAGACTTTCTTGGAAAATAAAAATTGTCAGTAGCTGCAGCTCAGCATTTTATTTAAAACAGTGCCATTTGGATAAAGAAGCTAAAGTGGTAGAGAACATCCTACTCTCGAGAGCAACAACAAACTTCACCAGTTGGCCCAATGATAACAAGTGTTTCGTGATGGGTCACATATGTCATGGCAATCATGTTGTGAAAGTACCCATGATATGCTCTTCAAATTCCAAATTGGCTTCCAGTCCCAAAGAGGTCTCTTGGCCAGGCAGAGGAACGTGTCAAGTGTCCTCCTGCAACACTACATGGAGAGCAGAGGCGTGCCCTAAGGGCTCTTCATGGGGCAGGGAGGCCAATTTTTTCAGTTATAGCCCATGAGAGCCATTCTCTTTCTCTCTTGCCTATCCACCATTTTGACAAGTTTGCACTTTTCTCCCTTCTCTAGTTTTAATTTACAAAGTGAGGGAATTACTGGTATTTGCCATCAAGGTTTTCCAAGTATTCAGAGCTTGTTAAAAATAATCTTTCTGATGAGAACAGGATGATGTTCACCCATTCCTACTTCCAGCATACTCTACTTATATTTGCTTTTGAAATATTCAACTGGCAAAGGAAACTTTCACTCACCTTTCACACTTGCTAGGTCCATTCTCCAGCGTTTCTGGGAAAAAAGGAAAATAATCTTTTTAATTTCCATTTTTTGTAATATTATTTTTAGTGTTAGGGATTTTTTAAAAATTGAGCAACAGGCGTTTAAAATGATTGTAACAGGCTTATTAAAGTAGAGGTCCTGATATAATGCTATAGACTGGCCCCAGATTTACAGTAATTCAAGTGGGTCTGAATCCAATCCAATGATTTCAAATTTATCTGATAAATGTGCATAAGCATAATAGCATGAGACTAATGCACACTTGCGGTGTTGATAGCAACTTTAGACATGATAAAATTCATATTGAAATTGAACACGATAACCATATGTCCCTGAGGGTTTTTTAGCATCCTTGTGGCCTTTTGAGCAAGGAAGCACAACACTGCTAACATGAAGCACATTTCTAAAGTGTTTTGCTACTAGTTCATTTCCTTATTCCAACTTCTGGGTGGAGAGCTCTTGGATTTGGAACTGGTCATGGGATGGGTGGCTGTCTATGTGTAAAAGCTGTGCTGCAGAGCCCTTGGCACCAGTTGCAAAGTTCACGTTCCCTCATTTAAAGAGTGGCTTGTCAAACCCCACACAGCTGGGCAAGCTCAAGGAAGCAAGAGCTATTCAGATTTCACTAATGTATCTTTCTGGCTAGCTTGGGGTAAATATAGACTCTTGGAAACTATAATAGGAGTAGACTGGGGTGGAAAGAAGCAATGGAGAAGCATGGAAAGATAATGGAGGTTAGGGAACTAATTTTGCTATGTTCTCCATGCACTGTTTTTGGTATTGAATATTGATCTCTTTCTCGCCACCTTATTTATTTATTTGTTATATTTATATCCTGCATTTGCTCCATAAGCTCAAAGTGGTGAGCAGTGCACGCCTCTGTGGGGAGTAATAGATACACCTTGTTTCTAAATATCATGGCTACTGCAACATCATGTCCATGAAAAAAGCAATCGGTAGTATTGTGAATTGTGGAATAACTTAATTTTAATTTTACATGGCTGCTTGTTAGGTACAAGTAAAAAGTTATTAATATTTTCCATTATTTATTTTTACATGAGCTTTACTACATATGTACTGTATAATTTGTGAAACAGGAAAACGCTTGGATTCAGGGCCAATGTATTTCTGTCTCCTGGCTGGTGGTAGTATTTTTTCCTGCTTATGGCGTCTGATGCATGTTTGTGATAGGTGAGCCACTGTATAATTTGCTTCTGGGCAAAATGTGTCATTTTACTCAGTTCCAACTAATCCATACTGTGCTAAAAAAGTTTCTTATTTTACTTATGGCAAACATTTCAAAAGTGAAAGGCCTACTGAACATGAAAAGAGAGCCATGGAGAAGACAAACAACATAACACGAATATTGAATTGCATGTCACATATTGCAGACCACCTGCACTGGTGGCACATTTCTCAAACAGATGAGAATTCCTTAGTTCCATTCCACTTCAGCCACACATTTCCTGGCAGAATTATTTATTTATTTATGGGCTCTGGGTGGCGTACAAAACCAAAAAATCCATAAAAACAGATAAAACATAAAACTACACCGACAGCCTGGACTAAAATGATCTAAAAGTGATACAAATCAAAATAAAACAGGGTCCTCCAAATTACAACAATACATTAACTCCAAGCTTAGGATAATAATAATGCAAAACAACCCAACTGATTTTCCAGAGTTTCATTCAGTGGATTTTCGATGCATCAGACAAAATTTTTCTTTTGATTTCACTCCAAACAAGGGCCAAAGTTCATAGCTTCTGCAGCAGTCCAGACAACTGATATAATTTGTGTCATTTGCATAATTATGTAATTGACATTTTTACTATTTCCATCAAGTTATATTACTTACATAATTATGTAAAGTGATACAAATGATATAAAATAGTTGCTTAATGACATAAATGTCAATTATATCAGTCTGGATTTATAAGATAGTTGACTTTAGTGGACAATTCTTCCTCCAAGATGGTCTGTTAAATCAAGGTTTTACAGCAGACACATCATCAGATATGGAAGACCCCAGGAAGCAAGACCACTTTAATATCCCCTACTAGCTGAGACAGTATACCTTGAAAAAAAAATTAATTAATTCTTAAATGTACTCCATGTACAGATGAGAAAGTCCAGTTCAGGGATAACCAATAAAGCTCTGGAGCATTTCAAATGGGTATTTACTTCATCACAGCTGAATCTGAGCACCCTTTTGAAGCGCATGGCTTCAGAGAGGCCTGGTTGTCCCACTTCAATCCACATGATTAACACCAAAGTCCTTCTTACTGTATCTAAATGGCCAATTGAGTCTAGTTGATCCTATGTTGATTCCGCAAGATTAAGCATAATGCTCAGGAGGAACCACAGGCAGAATACAGCTGATCTGCGGAACCCTAGTAATCTATCTGTGGAACTCCAAGTGTTATTGAATTACAACTCCCAGAATCCCTCATCATTAGCTAGGCTGGCTGGGGCTGCTGGCTGGTGTCATACATTGCCTCCTTCTGGAATAATTGAACATTGTGTGGAATATTCCAATGTAAACAACATAGAAGTTGTTATTCAGCAAGCTACATGGGGAGATGTTTTCTTGATTCTCTGCTTTCTAAACGTATTGTTCCATTTAGCAGAATCCGTCAGAAAATTTTGAAATGTACCATTTAAAATGTGATCTTTCCTATAGGCTTGAGAGTATCTTATTCTTGTAAATTTTTCATAACATAAACTTTCATCTCATCATTTTCCAGTAGAGGAGATCATTTTAGATAAATATTCATATGGTGTACATTGTTCATCAATTAATCTATTAAATAATGTTTATCATCTACAAGAGTGCTATGAATTATAGTAATCAGAACAAATTCTTGGCCTAAGCACGTGTTCAAAAACACTCACTGTCCTAAATGCATACTGGCCACTGATCTAGTATGAAAACACGTGGTTCCAATTCTGGGTTTCAAGAGGAGGAGAAGGAGGAGGAGGAGGAAGAGAAAGAATTATCATATTGGAAACCTGAAATATGCCCACACTGGCCAATGTGTAATATGAAGACTGAGAATGGATCAAGGGAAGATTGGTTTCCAAAGAGAAACTTCATGGAATGCAGCCAAACCATCAATCAGAGTTCCATCATATGAATAACAGAAGCACAAGACAATCTTTTACTGCAAAGTCATCAGAACAATGGTTTGTTGTGAGAAAAAGCAATAGCAGAATTCACTGTCCTGAGATTATGCATCTCAGAACATATCTGCTCAAATTCTGATAAATTCAGTGTGTCCAGGAACTATGATATAAATACACATCTGAATTTTCATCAACATTCTTGCTGAATTAGTTATGTATACCTATGTACATTTATTGCTAGATTGAAACAATGTACTTTGAATATCTTCTTGTGAATCTCTCTTTATATAACACTAACTTCCTTAAGATTTGCTTTACTCTAAGATGGGAGTGATCAACATTTTGGAGCTGATGGTATATATTGAATTTTGAGAGAATGTTAGATACTGTCACAAAATAGCTGCTATGATGAGAATGCCCTGTCACAGAACACCCATTTGCTGGAAGATCAACTGGTGAAGTTGCTACCAGTCCAGATTATCTTTATACTTTTGTGGGTTAGTTGGCTTGTTTCCAAAGCAGCCACCCACCAGATTGATTTTCTAAAAGTGCTCATGGAGACTATTTAGATCCCCAACAATTTACAATAATGTAGCAGCCTATGATTAGCATCTTCTGTGTAACCGGCATACCACAAAGCTTTTAGCCTGCTTATAATTGAGAAATGCAATTTTTGATTCAAAGTCCCAAGAAGAGTTTTATTTGTATCAGGTGAATGCCAGTGAGTGACAGAGTTGTAAAAAATGGAAAGTGGAAAAATGCAAGATCAAATTAAAGGTTGCAGTACCAGAAATATTTTCTGGGGTCAGTAAAGGATCTACAAATGATTGCATAGTCTCATCAGAATGTAATACTCACTACTAATATTATGAAACCTATCATGGAGAGTGTGGGGAAGTGCTATGACTAAGTATACAGCTGGAGGTCTAACACTACTTGATGCATTCATTTTCTTAAAAGTTGGGGGCCTTCATATCACATTGGTTTTAGCACACTGTAAAAGACAGACTCTTTAAAAGGCAAGCTGGTCATTTTTCAAAGTGGACGCCACTTATGTTTGATGAAGAAAATGATCTCTTCCTAGGGTCCTTGAGGATGAAAGACACTCTTATGTCTTATGTCAAAACCTGTCTACCTGTAGCATCTTCTTACCTGTTTGTCTCTGAGATCCTTGCTATTTTATTAGTGCCAGGGGAGTGTGAATTCCTGATCATCACACCTCAGAAAGGATATTGATTACTGAACTGAGACCATGCCCCCAGTTGTACCTAAACACACTACAAAGATGTCCCCAAATCATTTATTTTCTTTTCTGTTGTATCCCCATGATGTTGCCTTCATCTTGTCCTCAACCCATGAATGCAACAGTTTTAAGTCATTCTTAGCTGTACCAGTGTTACAACAGCATTTTCCCCATTATTCTAATTCTAGCCAAGGACAACTTGTCTAAAAATTATTTATTTGATTTATAGCCCACCTTTTATTCAAGACTTCAGACTGGCATACGTAACACTCTGGAACAATATCACTTTTCCGATTTCTCCATATAATTCTTTTAGTCACCCCCTCATGCTCAATACACCCACAATTCATGATAAACAGTCAGATTCCAAAGCTTTGGTATATAATTCAACATCACCTTAACATATTGAACATTTAAGATTTTCCCATATATCTATTTATATACATTAACACACTATTCAGATGATCACATGACCAAGTCATATCAAATTTTTTACATCTCCAGCAGAGAAAATCTGACGTTCTTCCTTTCAATCTTTTTAGGCTTTGTCACCTGTTGCCCTGAAGATGCCTTGAAGTGACTTGAAATAGAGGCAGGACCGGGATCAGAAATGGAACCAGCAGATTTCATGGTGGTGCTG